CTGCAGGCACCTCTTACAGTAAGTAATCAGCTTCGGACAGTCAGCCTCTATATTGAAGTTGCCGATGGTTTCATAGGCATAAAACCAACAATAGAAAGGAAGTAGTGCAACATCAACGAAGCCGAGGGTCTCGCCCCCAAAGTAAGGCTTGTCTCCAAGCTCTCCTTCCAAGAGCTTGAGGCTGTCAATGAAATCCTTCTTGGCTACCTCCTGATCTTCTCCTTTTGTTGTCCATATCTTCCTCCCAAAGTCATACATCTACAGATTCATATCACACCATTGTAAAACAAATTAGTGACTTTGGAATCACAAGGGTCAACGGTTGGACCAGTACATGCAATTTCTGTCTAGCCAATCACTGTTTCAGAGGGCAGAAATTCAAAGACAGCTAACGTAGCAACAAATTAAGATGGTGTGTAACGTCTTATTTACTTTGCTGCGTTGAAAGTGACTAATAATTAAGTAATAGATGGAAGGCTCATCATGGCATTTTTTTTAACCAAGGGAAGTTCACCAATAGGAAAACCTCAATAATGTCATCAATCGATGATATATTTTTGGATACTTGAAGGTGACTGCCCACCAATATAACAAAAGCATCATCACCTAAGCCCAAAATCTTATCTTTAATCCAATATTTTTATTGAAGGTTGTTGGACCCAACCAATCAGGTAATCCTTGTACAGAAACATCGTGCCAAAGTACTCTTCTTTAATTCTCATGAACTCACAAGAATGACAGTAATGATGAGAAACCTTAATGGCTAATTTGTTAAATAAAAAAGAATTGGTGGCCAAGAACACTTGAAATGAACATCATACTACTTACCAAAAAAAAAGAAAAAGAAATGAATATCATACAGACTTTTCCACCATTCCATATTGTGATGCCGAATTTCTTCCATGATTTTATATATTAGTCTCAAGGGCTAATTGTACTGGTGATATAATATTCTAATTCTTCCAAGCTTATCAAATTGCAAAGTGGGTTTAATCAAGTCATACCTCAAAACAATAAAAAATCATAAGCCAAATACTTGAACCATTTAAGAACAAAAAAGCATACCTTTTTGTCAACAAAATCTGCCCAAAACCTAGACCGAGCTCTCTCGTAAGGATCAGAAGGCAACAAAGGAGCCTTTTCCTTCCACACCTCATCAATATACTGAACAATAATAAGTGATTCACAAACAGGTTTCCCATCATGGACAAGAACTGGGATTTTCTTGTGAACAGGATTCATTTGAAGAAGCAAATCGCTTTTGTTCCTCAAATCTTGTTCACTGTACTCATACTTAACACCCTTTTCAGCCAATGCTATTCTCACTCTCATACCAAATGGACTTGACCAGAAATCCAACAGGGTTACTTGTTCACCAGCCATTCTTGAAGTGATAAAAGAAGATGCTTGAAGTAAAGTTAGGCTTCTTCGTTTTCTTGGACTACAAAAGCTATGGTTTGTCAGTGTGGAAATGCCAGCATTTGTTGTAAGGAAGGGTGTGCGGGTGAATATGTCCAGTTTTCTACAGTTGACTTATTGACCGCGCGACGATGATTTGTTCATCATGACAGCAAATTACGTAATCAAGGACCTCATGCTCTCATTTGCCTTTTTCCTCGTTGTTTCGCTTCCTTCTCCTACCATGATCTATACATTATTAAATAACACAAGAAAGATAATAATAACAACATGTGTAACCAATATAAAATCTTGTATTATTGTGCCAAAATTTAAAATTTTATTAATGATTATTTATTTTTAAATAGTCTTTTAAGATACAAGTTAAGCAATCATATTTTTAGCTAGTGTTAGACTTAAACTAATTAAAAAATAATTCATACATTATGAATGCTTATCTATTCAAGATATACTACCAATTCCTTTGAAGTTACTACCACCACCGAATACCGAAGCAGGCTTGCTCCTTCAAAATAAGGTGGCTAAGACAAACAAGACAGGGGGCCTACTCCAATAACTTAACTGGCAGTCGGGCTCTATTATGCCTATTCAACATGTTACGATTGTGATACAATTCCATTGCCTGCTTTTATTCATGTTGCCGGAACTTCAAGGTCAATAAATAAGGACTCCTATCCTAGAATTTCTTTTGTTTATATATGAAATATATTACAGGATTCAATCTTCACACTTATCACTTATGAGGGTCAGCTTTTAGTGGTTTATATATGAAATATATTAACCTTTGTGATAATAGTTAGCTTATAATAAATATGTTCATCATTTTTTTTTTGTCGGGCACATTTCATGTTATTTTTATACTCAATCTCTAACTCATTAGTAATGATATTATTAATGAACTCATCACTGCTATTATTTTAATTATTTATGCTATTATTATCAACACAATCATTATTAAAATAAAAATCATAAAGATATTCTTGAAACTTATGCTAATCAAGAAGATATCTTCTTTACTCATGTCTTTGAAATAAGGTCTCAAAACTAGCCATATCTTGCTCCTTTATCATCACTTGATGATACCATGACCTCAAATCTATTTTTGAAAATACACATGCCTCTTTTAATTGATCAACTAATTAGTACTTAAAAGTGTATTTTTATCAAGATTTTATATCATTATTATGCACTTGAAGTATCAATAACTCCTTAGCTAAAATATGTTTTATAATGACATATCTAATAATATAAGATACCTTTAATTTATGGTAAATATTCATTTTAAATGTAGGTCTATCACATAAATAAAATGATTAGTTGATGAGTTCAATTACTGAAATTGAGAAGACAAAGAGAGGGCTAAATTTAGAAAAGAGATGTTGGTTTGATCTAAATTAGAATACTATTTAATCATTGGGTAATATTTGACACTGTAGAACTTGGATTTGGGTTTGCTTTATATGAATGAAAAGCTAAGACCTGCCTAAAACTTTTATGAGAAGTCCAAGATTCAAAAATGTTGTTTTCAAGTTCAAATTATAGCAACAACGGAGAAGTTAAAATCTATCCTGCAGTCCAGATATTATTTAATGTTTAACCCATATCTTGAGTTCTAAAAGTCTAAATGACCTTATTATTTTTTTGTTGGAAAGCTGAGATAATTTCCTAGAACTTTTATAAGACAGTTTGTTCAAATTCTGATGTTAGCAATTATATTTTATTTAGACAAGAAAATAAGTATTGTTACCAAGTTAAGATGTGGTCACCCACTCAACAATTAGTCAACAAATCAATAGTTTTAAATTTTAGCTTATAAAAGGAGGCATTTACCATACATTTAAGTATCTTGGTTTCAGATTAAGATCATGTTCTTACTTTTTTTCTTTATACTTTTGTAATGCTTAAGATTTTCTTTCATTAATATCTTGCTTATGCCTTTCATTTTCTTTCATTTACTTAGTTCACTTATATCTTATCTATATTCTTATCTTGTTTATTTATATTTCTCTTTTTTTTATTATATTTAGCTAAGTTTATTATGTTAAGGTGAAAAGGTTACACTAATGGTGTAAGAATAAGTATAATATATATTCAATATGGACTTCAATGCTTATATCCTCAACAACTTGATATTAACATGTTTTATTATTTTTATCTTATTAATTCTTAATACCTTACTTGTTAAATAGTTAATCTAGATTTATGTTATATAACACTTGGTATAACAAATGCTTAGTACTTTTATAACTTAACCATATGGTAAAACCTACACCTATGCTATGAAAGGAATTTGATTTGTTGTTGACATAAGTTATAATTATGAATACCTGACAATATTTACAAATATTAACATTATTCAAATAAAATAATTAATATAATCATATTAACCATTTATAATTCGATTGGAACCTCCTTTGTGTGTGATTTCCAATTGAGTAATAAAAAGAGTTATACTATACTTGTTTGGAATACCATTTTTAGATCCTCTAACATTGATATTTATTTTTATCATTGTTTAATCCTCATATTAATCTTATATTTCAAGGTCCTCTTTAACTTATTGTTGTTGTTGTTGTTGTTGTTGTTATTGTTGTTATTAGTACTAGTACTATTATTATTGTTGCTGTTATTATTATTATTATAGTTAACTTTTCTATAATTTGACCCCGATCTTGCCGAGTTATTTATTACTTCGACACTCCTGTATTTGAGAGAAGATATTAATGTTTTGGTTGTGTCACTGAGTCAACTTGGAAAAATTAAAAAAATAAAAATTTTAATATTTCATATGAAAAAATTAAAAAACAATCCATGTGAATATATGCTATATATGTTATAAATAATAAAGTTTAAAAAATTATTTTAAATTTTTTTTATTCCACATTGAAAAGATACTATGTTAGTATGTTATCTTTTTAAGTCAAATTATTTAAACTAAAAAGTTTTTTTTCATATTTAAAAAACATAACTTGTTTTTTATAAATATAGAGTATATATATTAAAAATCATCAAATCACACATTGAAAAAATAATTTTTTTCTTGTAAATATAAAATATATATATACTAAAAGATTTTAAATCTTATATTGAAAAAATAAAATATTCTTCTAGTATTTATATAATAAACTTTGAAAAAGGTTAATAATAAACTAAAAAAATAAAAAAATGATCACTAGTTAGAAGAAAAAACAACTTTTTTTTTTTAAATCTCAACCACATTTTACGGAGTTTTTACTTATCCTAATTTATTATTTCACTCAAACCAATTCAACAATTAAGTTTCAGATCGACACACCAAACTAATTTAGATTTAAAAACTACAAAAATTTATGCATTCAAGTCTTCTCATAACCTCAACCCAAATAATTAAATAACAACTCCTACGTCCTATGTCCTGCTACATCATACATGCACGTGCCACAAAGCTCAATACAATCATTTTCGTAGAGATACCTGGAATACTGTATATATTATAGAAGGAGAAGGAAACAAAACGACAAGGAAAGAGGCTTATGAGAGCATGAGGTCCTTGATGACGTAATTTGCTAGAATGTTCAACATGACGTGTAATAAATAAGAAGACAACCCACCGCACAAACCCCCTCCTGCCTTTTCTTACAACAATTACTAGCGTCTCCACTCTGTCAGACCTCAGCCTTTGGAGTCCAAGAAGCGTTGCAATACTCCAAGCATCTTCTTTTTCACTTCAAGAATGGCTGGTGATCAAGTAACCCTGTTGGATTTGTGGGCAAGTCCATTTGGTATGAGAGTGAGAATAGCATTGGCTGAAAAGGGTGTAAAGTATGAGTACAGTGAACAAGATTTGTGGAACAAAGGTGCTTTACTTCTTCAAATGAATCCTGTTCACAAGAAAATCCCAGTTCTTGTCGATGATGGGAAACCTGTTTGTGAGTCACTTATCATTGTTCAGTATATTGATGAGGTGTGGAAGGATAAGGCTCCTTTGTTGTCTTCTGATCCCTGCGAGAGAGCTCAATCTAGGTTCTGGGCAGATTTTGTTGATAAGAAGGTAAATTATTATTTTTTAAATAAATATAAAGGGTTCATCTTTTGTGTTTTCTATTATTGTTTGGTTTTGAGCCATGACGTGATTAAACCCGCATTACAATTTGATTAGTTTGAATTTTACATCGCCAGTGCAATTATCCTGAAGAATAATACCAAATTATGGAAGAAATTAGGCATCACAATATGGAATGGTGGAGAAGTCTGATCATTATAACAAATTAACCATTAAGGTTTCTGATCATTTCATTTTTGATGAACTATATTTTCATTCTTGTGAGTTCATGAGAGTTAAAGTAGATGTTTCTGTATAAGATCATCAAATTGATTGGATCCAATTGCTTAAACGCACCAAGATAACTTTAAAAAATAACATATTTAATGCATAAAGACAAGTTTATGGACCTAGGTGATGATACTTTAATTAATTAACAGTGACAATATTGAGGTTTTCCAAGAATATATCATTGATAGTGACAAAATGAGGTTTTCCTATTGTTGCCCAGAAAACTAAAAGAAATGTTATCACCATCTTTGTCGCTAAATATTTAGCTGCTTTGAATTTCTAACCTCTCTAACAATGAATGGCTTTGCCCTCATCGATTATTTGTCGCTAAATGTTGTCACCTTTGACTTTTGTGATGCCAAAAAGTCTCTGTGGTGAATTGTTTTTAAAAGGAAATTGTTTGTCTCAAGTTTTAGAAAATAATATAGATTAATAAAATATTAGAAAAATAATATAGTTCAATAATCATGTATTTAAATATTAATGTTATATACAATTATTATTGGAAACAATGATTGTTTAGTTAAAAGATAAAATATGTTAATAAAATTTTGGGGTTAATTTAATGTATATATAAATTAATTTGCATGAGATATATATTTTGATTTTTAACTAAATAACCGTTATTTGTAATAATAAAAAAAAAACACAACTTTTTAAATTGTTCTATTTCCGTTGGATGTATTTGCCACAACTTTTACCTAATTATGTGTGGTGACCATTATACTAATTTGTTATGCAATGGTGTGATATGAACCCTCAGTTATATGAGATTGGGAAGAAGATATATACAACAGAAGGAGATGATCAGGAGGCAGCCAAGAAGGATTTCATTGGCAGCCTTCAAGTCCATTTGGTATGAGAGTGAGAATAGCATTGGCTGAAAAGGGTGTTAAGTATGAGTACAGTGAACAAGATTTGAGGAACAAAAGCGATTTGCTTCTTCAAATGAATCCTGTTAAGCTTAGGGTCTGGTTTTATGCCTATGAAACCATCGGCAACTTCAATATAGAGGCTGATTGTCCAAAGCTGATTGCTTACTGTAAGAGGTGCTTGGAGAAAGAGAGTGTATCCAAGTCTCTTGAAGATCCACAGAAAGTCTATGATTTTGTTATGATGATAAGGAAGAAGTTTGGGCTTGAGTAGAGTGCATCCATAGGCAAGGAGGTGCAATTCCGTGTTAATAAGTTGTACTTATGTTGTGTGTGACTTATGTTTCAAATAAGGCGGGCACTTAGTTGTGCCTGTAATATATATGTTTATGTTCTGTGGTACTTTATTGTGCCTGACATAGTATGTGGTTTTTTCTCTTTGTAATGTTTGCCTTCAAGTATAAAAAGGCTGGCACCTCTTTGTTCTACACGTATAGGCCATGCAGTCAATAAGACAACCATGCAAAACCTCGTAAAAATATAGTGGATTTTCTACGGAACTGGGCTCGAGAACCTGGCGTGAAAATTGATTACAATCTAATAGTCAAATATTTTGTTATCGACTCATTTAATCGTTATTCTGGTTTAGTATATCAAACCTTCTCTTGAATCAAAATCTATCTTATTAATTCATACATTCATTTGTTAAGCGATAAGGAACTCCTTATGGCATATTGCAATCCAAATGCTCAACAACTTCAATTTCCTCGAGCCTGGAGACATCAATCTCCGAGTACTTTACATAGAAGGAGAAAGAAACAAAAGGATGAGAAAAAAGGCAAATGAAAGCGTGGGTTCCTGGATTACTTAATCTGCTAGAATGTTCAACATGTCTATGCCATCCAGTCAATAAGACAACTCGGCAAAACCGGCCATGACCTCGGGAGGAAGATATACGGACAACAAAAGGAGAATATCAGGAGTCAGCGAAGAAGGATTTCATTGACAGCCTCAAGCTGTTGGAAGGAGAGCTTGGAGACAAGCCTTACTTTGGGGGCGAGACCCCCAGCTACGTTGATGTAGCACTACTTCCTTTCTATTTCTGGTTTTATGCCAATGAAACCATCGGCGACTTCAATATAGAGGCTGATTGTCCGAAGCTGATTGCTTACTGCAAGAGGTGCTTGCAGAAAGAGAGCGTATCCAAGTCTCTTCAAGATCCACAGAATGTCTCTGATTTCCTTGTGATGATGAGAAAGAAGCTTGGACTTGAGTAATGTGCATCCAAAGGCAAGGAGGTGCTATTTCCTGTTGAGAAGTTGTTGTACTTGTGTACTGTGTGAGTTATGTTTCAAATAAGGTTGGCACTTTGTTGGGCCTGTAATGTGTTGATAGTTTGAGAGGGCACTTTGTTATGCCTGACTGAGGATGTGGTTTTTCTCCGTGATGTTTGCCTTCAAGTGAAAAGACGGTCTTCGCTGCCCATTGGTTCTTGATAAATATAGATATTTATCATCTTAAAAGCGTGGGAAAATCATTTGAACTTAAAAATCTAAGGTACTGAATAAGATTTCAAAAATTATTTATTCTACTTTTTAATATTTTTTAAGTTTAAATTTTTTAAAGATCTACAACTATCTTATATTTTATTTTATTAACTTAATATTTGATAGAATAAATGTAGTTGGATTTAAGTTGATGAGAAATATCTTATTTTAAAATTTTAAACTATTGAATAAGGTATTGTATAATTGGTTATCAATGATTTAATAAAATGGTTATTGATTTATTTAATTAGATGTTTTCATAGACTTTTTGGTTTATATTTTGAATTTTTTATTTGAAAAAACACATCAAAATATTATACATACTTGATTTGTTTGTTTTTAAAAAATTACAATCCAAGAGTACAGTTTATATAGTGCATTTATCAAAAATATTTTGAACTTGAAACTCTATAAAGATACGGTAGATTAAGGGAAATAAATAGTTTTTTTTCAAATTCAATTTGATTGATGGGAAAATATTTTCTATAAGAAAAATCCTTTTTATATTTTGGCAATCTAACCTTCTTTTCTTCCAACCATTTTCACAAGTTATCATCAAAAGATGAAGGGAAAAATGAGCCTAGGCTAAAAAACATTTGCATGATAAGTCAATAGGAGTTTATATATAGACACATGTAAGCTCAACATAATGTATCACTAAAATAAATTTATGATAATCCATTAGAATTTGGTTAATATATCATTTTTTTGAAATTTTTTTAGGATCCTGATATAGACTTTGATATTTATGAAGTGTAAAATTACACAATAAATTACACCCTCAAGTATTAAAGATACAATGTGTACATAAATATGATACTAAAGTTCAGATTTTAGAACGATTAGGATTTAATCTGATAAGGTAGAGATCCACTCATGAAAAGAGATCCGCTTTGAACCTTAGAAAAGACTAATGAATAGAAACCCGACTTAGAAAAAACAATCAAATAATAATGCAACTTATCTTAGGTTGGGTATACTGAGAATGTTGCATCTTCCCCTTACATAATCAGTCCCTTACTCAGACTCACGCAAACCATAGATTTCTAGTGACCATAATACTAGGTGACGACTCTTAAACATTAATCATAATTTTATGGTTAAATTCAAAACCCTTTCCAACACACAACACCCCTCATTAGGAGGCAAGACAAGAGCCTCCACCGTAACGAGATGACGTTGCCCTGCGACAGTTAACATAAGTTATAATCATAAATACTTGACAATATTTATAAGTATTAGCATTATTTGAACAAGATAACTAATATAATCATGTTAATAATTTATAATCCGATTAAAACGTTTTTTGTGAGTGGTTTCCAATTTAGTAATAAAAAGAGTTTATACTATACTTATTTGAAATACCATTAGTGGATCCTCTAACCTCAACATTTGTTGTTGTCATTGTTTAATTCTCACATTGATCTTCTATCTTAAAATTATCATTGTTTATTACTATTATTATTATTGGTATTGTTGTTGTTATTTTTATTTGTAATTTATACTATTAACCTCTTTGTGGTTCAACCCCGGTCTTATTGAGTTATTTATTACTTCGACACTCCTACACTTGGGAGAAGACATTAATCTTTTAGTTTTGGCATGCTTAATTCTTATAAAAAAAATTGCAATTTTATTAATGAAAAAGGAGAAAAATACTTTTAGCATGGTTTTAGAAAAATTGCATCTTTGAAATTTACACCAAGTTTGTAAAAATGCTTAAGAATTTGATCAATATTTCAATAATTCTAAATTTTTAATTCATGAAAATTAATGGTCATCGTGCTAGTATAAATATTGAACCTATAAGTAAGCTAGTATTTAAATACTAGGAGTTGACTAGAAAATTTTCAAGATTATTTTAGATATTCATGAATTTTAATTGTGGAGAAGGACTTTACTTACTAGGATAGATGATCTTTGTTAAGGCACCTTCATAGATTCTTCCTATAAGAATTTATTTGGGCATATAAGCCTATAATAAATTTAAAATGCCAGATTTATTTATGTGAGTAAATCTTTATTCAGAGTCATAAACAGATATTGATTAGGAACCCTTCGAAATCTTTAAACCAATCTAAACCATATAATACAACTTCCTTCAAGTAAAATATGCTAGATGTACTAATACTTTTTGTAACCACAATCAATCTCTTATCCTTAAAATTTATATTAAAATTAACATAGTTATCATACCTGACTTGGGATTGACCCGGGCAGGAAGCTAGGTCTCGGGTTACACGAGTTGACCAGAGTTAACACGGAAAAATTCAAAAAATATTTGAAATTTTAATATTTTATGTGAAAAAATTAATAAACAATCTATATGAATTTAAGCTATATATGTTATAAATAATAAAATTTGAAAGATTATTTCAAAATGTTTTTTATTTAACATTGAAAAAATACTATGTTAGTATGTTATTATTTTAAATTAAAGTATTTAAATTAATTTTTTTCATATAAAAAAACATAAATTTTTTCTTGTAAACATAGAGTATATATATTAAAGGGTTTTAAATTTCATATTGAAAAAATAATTTTTTTTTTGTAAATATAAAATGTGTGTGTGTCTATATATATATATATATTAAAGGGTTTTAAGTTTCAAAAAATAAAATATTCTTCTATTATTTATATAGTGGACTTTTAAAAAAATTAATAACTAATAAAAATAAAAATAAAAATAGGATCTCTAACTAAAAAAAATATATATTTTTAAAAAAATTCTCTTTAAGATTTAATTTTATCATCCAAATAACGAGTCAATCAAATTTTATTGAATTTTTATTCATTTAAATTTTTTATTTTACCTAAATCAGTCTAGCAATCAACAGTTGAGTAAACTTACCAGACAAATCTAAGTTAAATAACTATAAAAATTAGTACATTCAAATCTTTTAATAACCAGAAACCAAATAATTAAATAACAACTCCTCGATCCTATATCCTGCTGCATCACATGCGTGCATGTGCCACAGAGATCAACACTATCATTGTAGAAGGAGAAGGAAACAAAACGACAAGGAAAGAGGCTTATGAGAGCATGAGGTCCTTGACGTAATTTGCTAGAATGTTCAACATGCAATAAATAAGACGACTAGGAAACCCACCACACTACCTCCCTTCAGCCTTTTCTTACAACAAATACTGGCGTTTCCACTCTGACAGACCTCAACCTTTGGAGTCCAAGAAGCGTAGCGATACTTCAAACATCTTTTTTTTCACTTCAAGAATGGCCGGTGATCAAGTAACCCTGTTGGATTTTTGGTCAAGTCCATTTGGTATGAGAGTGAGAATAGCATTGGCTGAAAAGGCTGTAGAGTATGAGTACAGTGAACAGGATTTGTGGAACAAAGGTGCTTTATTTCTTCAAATGAATCCTGTTCATAAGAAAATCCCAGTTCTTGTCCATGATGGGAAACCACTTTGTGAGTCACTTATCATTGTTCAGTATATTGATGAGGTGTGGAAGGATAAGGCTCCTTTGTTGTCTTCTGATCCCTGCGAGAGAGCTCAATCTAGGTTCTGGGCAGATTTTGTTGATAAGAAGGTAAATTATTATTTTTTAAATAAATATAAAGGGTTCATCTTGTGTTTTCTATTATAGTTTGGTTTTGAGCCATGACCTGATTAAACCCACATTGCAATTTGATTAGTTTGAACAATAATATCAAACTACGGAAGAAATTAGGCATCACGACATGGAATGGTGGAGAAGTCTGATAATTATAACAAATTAACCATTAAGGTTTCTGATCATTTCATTTTTGATGAACTATATTTTCATTCTTGTGAGTTCACGAGAGTTCAAGTAGAGTTTGGCAGGATGTTTCTGTATAAGGATCCAATTGCTTTAACACGCCCCAATAAAACTTAAAGAAATAACATATTTAATGCATTAAAGAAAAAGATACTTTAATTAATTGATAGTGACAACATTGAGATTTTTCAAGAATATATCATTGATATTGACAAAATGAGGTTTTCCTATTGGTGCGCAGAAAACAAAAAAAAAAAATTGTTATCACAAATATTTAGCTGCTTTGGATTTCTAACCACTCTTTAGGCAGAAATGGAGTACTCTGATTCCAAAAAGTCTATGCGTGGTGAGTTTTTTTTAGAAGGAAATTATTTGTATAAGTTTTAGAAAATAATATAGAATAAACAAATACTTAAAAAATAATATAGTTAAATATAACCATGTTTTAAAATATTAATTTTCTATACATTATTATTTATTTTTTTGTATTTATAAATTAATTTGCTTGAGATATATATTTTGATTTTTAACTAAATAACTGTTATTTCTAATAATAACAATAAAAAACACAGTTTTTTAAAACTGTTCTATTTCCATGGGATGTATTTGCCAAAACTTTTACCTACTTATGTGCGGTGACCATTATACTAATTTGTTATGCAATGGTGTGATATGAACCTTCAGTTATATGAGCTTGGGAAGAAGATATGTACAACAAAAGGAGAAGATCAGGAGGCAGCCAAGAAGGATTTCATTGACAGCCTCAAGCTTTTGGAAGGAGAGCTTGGAGACAAGCCTTACTTTGGGGGCGAGACCCTCGGCTACGTTGATGTAGCACTACTTCCTTTCTATTGCTGGTTTTATGCCTATGAAACCATCGGCAACTTCAATATAGAGGCTGATTGTCCAAAGCTGATTGCTTACTGTAAGAGGTGCTTGGAGAAAGAGAGCGTATCCAAGTCCCTTAAAGATCCACAGAAAGTGTATGATTTCGTTGTGATGCTGAGGAAGAAGTTTGGGCTTGACTAGTGTTCATCCATAGGCAAGGAGCTGCTATGTTGTGTTAATAAGTTGTACTTATGTTGTGCGTGCTTTATGTTTCAAATAAGGCGGGCACTTAGTTGTGCCTGTAATATGTTTATATTCTGAGGTAATTTATTGTGCCTGACATGGGATGTGGTATTTCTCTTTGTAATGTTTTCCTTCAAGTATAAATAGGCTGGCACCTCTTTGTTCAACACGTCTATGCCATCCAGTCAATGGGACAACTCTGCAAAACCGGCCATACTAACTGTAGTAAACAAGAAAAACAAGAAAACAAAGTGGGAGAGACAGATAATTCTTATTAAAATGAATTACATTTGATGTTAGTAGAAACAACACCTATATATAGAAAAAAAATAGAAACAGAAACAGATGAAACAGAAACAGTAGAAACAACACCTATATATAGAAAAAAAATAGAAACAGAAACAGATGACTCTTAAACTAACACTCCTATTTGCATGGCATTACCATACTCAACAAACTAACAAAAAATCAGCAAGAAATTCTGCACGACAAGTTACAGACTTATTCAAACCCAAAGACTTATTCAAGATTAGAAAAATAAAGTAAATACTTGAACTGCAGGACGAAAGAAAAAACTAGCTGTTTGAGTTTAAAACTCCAACAGCCTCCCTTAAACTCAAACTATCAGAGGTACACATCCCCATCTTCTCCTTCAACCTGTGAAAGATGTCTGCTTTTAATGGCTTCGTGAGAATATCAGCAATTTGTTCTTCGGATTTACAGAACTCCACCTCTATCTCCTTGCTGCTGACAAGTTCACGAATATAATGGAATTTTATGTCGATGTGCTTGCTTCTCCCATGAAAGACTGGATTCTTCGTAAGTGAAATAGCTGACTTGTTGTCACAAAAAATCTTTGTTGGACTTCCTTGCTTCTGGTTTAATTCATCACACAACCGACGCAACCAAACAGCTTGACATGCAGAGGAGGCAGCAGCCATGTACTCTGCTTCAGTAGTTGACAATGCCACAACTTGTTGCTTCTTCGATGACCATGAAATGGCACCCGAACCAAAGTGAAATATATAACCAAAAGTGCTCTTTCTCCCTTTAACATCTCCTGCCCAATCGCTGTCTGAATACCCAACAAGATTACAATCAGCAGCAGATGCATAAAAAATACCATGATTTTGGGTACCTTTTATATATCGCAAAATTCGTTTTGCCACTAGTAAATGAACTTGGCTAGGTGTCTCCATAAACCTACTAATCATGCCCACGCCAAAAGAGATGTCGGGTCTAGTAGAAGTCAAATAGCGTAGACTTCCTACTAAACTTCGAAAATAAGTTGTGTTGACTGGATTTCCATCACATGATTTTGTTAACTGTAGCCGTGTTTCAACTGGAGTACTAATAGAGTTGCATGCCTCCATCTTAAATCTCTTTAAGATATCTGCTGCATATTTCTCCTGTGAAACAAAAATCCCAGCACCTGTCTGCATAACTTCAAGCCCAAGATAATAAGACATAAGTCCCATATCAGTCATTTCAAAATTGCTACTCATAGCCTTCTTAAATGCAGCAACCATGCTTGAGTCATTTCCTGTAAATATCAAATCATCCACATATAAACATACAATGAGCATATGATTATGTGAATCAGATTTGATATATAGCGTAGGTTCGTATGGACACTTAAGAAACCCATTTTCTTGAAAATATGAGTCAATACGAGTATACCACGCCCTAGGTGCCTGCTTCAACCCATATAATGCCTTCTTTAACCTTAGAACCTTATTTTCAAGGCCTTCCTTCACGTAACCAACTGGTTGATCAACAAAGACTTCTTCTTTGAGTGAACCATTTAGAAACGCAGATTTCACATCCATTTGATGTATCTGCCATTTCTTTTGAGCAGCTAAAGCAATTACCAAACGAATGGTGTCAAGTCTTGCCACTGGTGCAAAAACTTCGTAGTAATCAATACCCGGTTTTTGCTTGTATCCTTTCACCACTAACCTTGCCTTCAATCTGTCCACCTGACCATCTGGCTGCAACTTGGTTTTGTATACCCATTTAACTCCAATTGTTTTCTTGCCTTGTGGAAGAGAAGTAAGCTCCCAAGTATGATTCTTCTCAATTGAATGAATTTCTTCATCCATGGCACTAACCCATCGATCATCTTGCACTGCTTCTGCATAGGTTAGAGGATCACAATCTGCAAATAAAGCAAAGTTTACCAAATCCTCATCAGACACATCATTATCATTGGTTACAATATAGTCCTATAACCGTGCTGGAATCACACAATTTCATGTTGAGCAACGAGTTGCATCATCAGGACTCAAGGGGAAATCAGAGGTTGCTGTCGTGCTGGTATCCATAGAAGGTCCTTCAGGTTGTGTGCCTTCAACGGAGTCTTCATTCCATGCAACCCCCATTTGTTTCTTCTCATCAACTGTCCAATCCCAGGCTTCTGTTTCATTGAATTCAACGTCCCTGCTCACAATAACTTCATTTGTTGCTGGATTAAACAACTTGTAGCCTTTAGTTATATTGCTATAGCCAATGAAAATGCATTTTACACATTTATCATCAAACTTCTTCCTTTTCTCTGCTGGAACGTGAGCATAAGCAATACAACCGAACACCCTGAAAGTTCCAACATCTGGTTTGTAATTGCTCCAAGCCTCCTCAGGTGTCATGTTGAGAACACTCTTAGTAGGGCACCTGTTTAGAATGAAAACAGCACAGGATACAGCTTTTGCCCAAAACACTTTGGGTAATCCCTTTCCTTTCAACATGCTGCGCACCATTTCACAAATCGTTCGGTTCTTTCTTTCAGCAACCCCGTTCTGTTGGGGTGAGTAGCTTGCTGTGAATTGATGTTTAATGCCATGACTCTTATAGAAAACAGAAAACTCATTAGAAGAGTACTCTCCTTCCCTATCCGATCGAAACATCTTCAAACTTCGACCACACTGTTTTTCAACATAGATTTTGAACTCTCTAAATATGTTAAAACACTCAGATTTTTGCTTCAAAAAATAGACCCAAGTTCTTCTACTGTAGTCATCAATGAAAGTGAGAAAATATTTGTTACCTCCATGTGAGACATTCTCCATTGGGCCGCAAATATCTGAGTGCACAAGTTCTAGTGGCTGCTGTGCTCTTCGTGACTTTCCCACTGGAAAAGAGTCCCTGTGTAACTTGCCAAATATGCACCCTTCATACATTTGATTAAAATCACCCAACAAAGGCAGCCCCGTAACCATTTCCTTCTTTGCCAGCAATTTTAGTCCATTGAAATTCAAATGACCAAAACGGAAATGCCACAGCCAATTTGTATCCATAACCATAGCACTAAAGGACATGATCAAATCAGTTTGTAGAGGCAAAGGAAACATGCGATTTTTAGTCATTTTAACTTTGGCAACTAGCTCATTTTTCTGATTCATAATGGTGCAAATTCCATTATCAATGATGATTTTCAATCCCTTTTCCGAGAGTTGCCCAATACTTAATAGATTCCAATGTAAACTAGGGACAAAAAACACATCAGAGATAGTTGCATGAGAGCCACCTTTTAATCGAATGAGAATGTTACCATTCCCCATAATTGAAACTTTGGCTTTGTTTCCAAAATTCACTTCTCCACGTGCTGATTCATCTAGGTATGAAAATAGCTCCTTCTTGTCACACATATGATTACTGCATCCAGTATCCAAATACCACTGGTCACTGAGCTCATCTTCAGAAATGCTACAGGCTAACAGCAAAGTTTCTTTTTCTTGTATGTCAGCATCAACATAGTTGGCACGTTCATAATTGGCTTTAACCAGCTTGACTCTGCACTGTGAACGATAATGTCCAAATTGTTTGCAACGAAAACATTGAATTTTGGACTTATCATACCTTTCATTACCAGAGTTACTTTTCTGAGAGGAGGTAGCTTGTTTGTGGTTCACAACCTTGCTACCTTTGTCTGATGTTGATCCTCTACCATCGCTGAAATTTGCTTTGTTGGATAGAGTCACCCTGCTTTGAAAAGCTTGTTCAATAGGCTCTGCTAATCTTTGATTCATTCGATACTCATGAGCACATAACGACCCCATCAGACCTTCAATTGTCATGATCGAAAGATCCCTTCCTTCTTCAATTGCAGCAACGACATAGTCAAACCGACTTGTCAAGGATCTCATGATTTTTTCAATAACAAGCAAATCTTCCTTTTTCTCGCCATTCACTCGCAATTGATTGACGACAGTTTGAACCCGAGAAAAGAAATCAGATATAGAGTCAGAATCTTTCATTTTAAGAGATTCAAATTCACCACGTAAGGTTTGCAACCTTACATTTTTTACTTTCTCATCACCTTTGTAGGATCTCTGAAGCATCTCCCACGCCTCTTTAGCCGTAGTTGCATTTGAAATCTTTTCAAAAACAACTTCATCTATGGCTTGGTAGAGAAAAAATAAAGCCTTCTTGTCTTTTTTCCTATTGTTACTCAAGTTATCCTTCTGGACTTGAGTGAGTGCTGCTGCTGCATCTTGATCTACTGGTTCTGCATATCCAAGCTCAACAATCTCGGATAACTCCTGAAAGCCAAACAATGCCTTCATCTGGATACACCATTGATCAAAGTGTTTTCCACCAAACCTGGGAAGCTGAGGTTGTATGCCATTCATGATTGGATGCTTACAAATACAAGTAAGAACTTAGACCAAACAAGAATACCGGACAGTAACAAGCTCTGATACCAAATGTAGTAAACAAGAAAAACAAGAAAACAAAGTGGGAGAGACAGATAATTCTTATTAAAATGAATTACATTTGATGTTCGTAGAAACAACACCTATATATAGAAAAAAAATAGAAACAGAAACAGATGACTCTTAAACTAACACTCCTATTTGCATGGCATTACCATACTCAACAAACTAACAAAAAATCAGCAAGAAATTCTGCACGACAAGTTACAGACTTATTCAAACCCAAAGACTTATTCAAGATTAGAAAAATAAAGTAAATACTTGAACTACAGGACGAAAGAAAAAACTAGCCGTTTGAGTTTAAAACTCCAACACTAACATCATCCCTTTCTTACTAAAACTACTTGCATTTCCACAATGACAAACCACAGCCTTTTTAGTCCAAGAAAACAAAGAAGCGTTACTTTACTTCAAGAATCATCCTTTTCACTTCAAGAATGACTGGTGATCAAGTAACCCTGTTGAATTTCTGGTCAAGTCCATTTGGCATGAGAGTGAGAATAGCATTGGCTGAAAAGGGTTCTGGGCAGATTTTATTGACAAAAAGGTACGTTAATTTTTTTGGGTAAATAAAGGGTATATCTTTTTGGTTTTTGATTTTGTTTTGATTTGAGGTATGACTTGATTAAACCCACATTGCTATTTGATCAGTTTCTTAGAATTAGAATTTTACATCATCAGTACAATTTAGCCCTAAGACTAATATCAAGTAAAATAATTGTGTGATATGTATCTGCAGATATATGACCTGGGGAGGAAGATATGGACAACGAAAGGAGAAGATCAGGAGTCAGACAAGAAGGATTTCATTGATAGCTTCAAGCTGTTGGAAGGAGAGCTTGGAGACAAGTCTTACTATGGGGGCGAGACCCTCGGCTACGTTGATGTTGCGCTGCTTCCTTTCCATTGCTGGTTTTATGCCTATGAAACAATCGGCAACTTCAATATAGAGGCTGATTGTCCGAAGCTGATTGCTTACTGCAAGAGGTGCTTGCAGAAAGAGAGTGTATCCAAGTCTTTTGAAGATCCACATAAAGTCTCTGTTTTCGTTGTGATTATGAGAAAGACGCTTGGGCTTGAGCAATGTGCAATTTGTTGTGCCTGTAATATGTTTATACTACTAAAAAATATATTCATTAGCAACGCACTACTCGTTGCGAATAATACTAAAATCTGTTGTTAAAATAATTTAATAACAGGATTAGTAACAGCAAACATTAGAGATAGATTTATCATTGCTGATTTTTTAGTGACATATTTATCCATTATTGATTTCACAGTAACAAAAATTTTGTTGTTTGTAATTAACAACGGATAATCCAATGCTAAAAATCAGCAACGGATTTTCTATTATTAATTTTATCCGTTGCTATTTTTATGAATCAACAATGAATTACCTTTTACTAATTGATGAATTATTTACAATCAATAACGAAAAATTTGTTATGGAATATATTATTTTTAATAAATTAATTTTTATTTATTAATTAAAATAGCTTTTAATTTATTTAATTAATTAGTTATGGATATTTTAAAAGTTGTAGGATATTTTAAAAGTTGTAGAATATATATAATCAACATAAATTAATATTAAAAATAATTGCATCACTAATACAAAATGGAATAAAAATAATACTCATTAAAATGTTTTTAGTTAAACTTGCATTAACAAAATTAAGTCGAAATACAAAAGACAAACAAAAACAACAAAAGATACAATCATGGTGGTGGTTGCAAAGACGAATTATGATATTGTGGATCGACACAAGATTGATCAGGATATAGTTATCGAGGTATAGGTCAATAAATTGGTTAAGATGTAGGACCTATAGATGTATTATTTGGGGAGCTATAGGCGGCAACATTAATAGGATCAAAGGTGGTTGCATACCTTGGCCAATATTCGATATACCACCATGGTATCCAAGATTATTCACAAGATATTATTTTATGGAATCCATCTGTCATTTCATTTCAAAAATAAAATCATCTTTTTCCTTTATCTCTTTTTTATTTTTTTATCTCGTTTTGTAATGCTTGATATGATGAACTAAGATATGATGACTCCATCGAGTAGGAATGTGATGAAGAGCTTGAACTAACTATAGATTTTGGTATACCAGGTGCACCATATACCCTACCTTTTGAAACTCCTCCTGAAGCTACACACGAAGCTACTCCATCAAATGAAGGATGATTTTTCCGGTTAGTTTCATACATTGAAATCATCTCCATTTTATAATTTTCCTAAACATAAAATACATGCAACAATAAATTCATTTGAATGTTAAATAATTCTTAAGTTATATTAAGAAATAATCAAATAAAAATACATACAACCACTTTTTTAAACTTGTTGTCAACGAAGTTACCGGATTACTTAGTACTTTGATGCAAAGCTAAAAAGATATCATCCCATAGAGGTTCTTTTCCATCAGCTTCCTCTTGCTTTCAAGATTAATAAATATTATAAAAGATAAATATACAAATTTTAATTCATTATCTTAAACATAAAAAAAATACTTACCATGTTAGCTTGATATGATGCAAATGATACTGTTCCTCTAAAATGAGTGTTTATTTTGCTATCTGTTTTGGTTAATCGATTTCTCCTAGCAGATTCTGACCTCCTTTGAAATTCAAGGGTGGACCAAACATCTTAAATCATTTGATTCCAGTCATCATTGTTTATCCAAGTAGGACCTTTATCAAGAAATCTATAATATTTGTAGTGTTTTCTTTTGACATGGCTTTCTTACGAGCTCGTGTTAATTGTTGATTCAAAGCTATCCTAGCCTTATCTTCCTAAATATTACGAACAATCGACTCATCTTCCTCAAGAAAGGAATATTTTTTCTACTAAATAATATATATACAAAGTAAAAAGAGTGTACAAAATTTCAAAGTATATAAATAACTAATCATATTGTGTTATCTTGTTTAGAATTTGCAAGATAATGTAATAACTAAAGAAATTTTTCTATTGTTTCTTATGTAGACAATAAGTGCCTTTAGGTTTTTAAACCCGACCACTCGTATCTTGTTGTAAATGTAAATTTGGCTTCTTACAATACAATTGAATATCCAACCTAGCCTTTAAATTGTCCTTGCTTCTATTAGGACAATCCATTACTGTATAAAAAATATTGTTAAAGATATTTTTCTCAATATGAATGACATCAAAATTATGACGAATCAAATTTGTATGCCAATATGGAAGCTCCTAGAAAATACTCTTCTTCACCCAATTGTGTTTAACACCAAAGCCAAGAATTTTATTATTATATGATGAACCTCCATTATGTCCCTCAGTATACTTAGACATTTGTTTAACATTTCCAAACCAGATAGACGAGGTAAAGGAGAGAGCCTTTCAATTAATCCTTTCAAAAATTTATCAGATTGACATCTATATGGGTGGGTCATGGGTAGGAATCATCGATGACAATAAAAAAATATAGTTTTCCCTCCATTTTTTAATCTAAAAGTCTTGCTATACTCCATACAATCAGGACAAGATAGATTTCCATGAGTACTCCATCCTGATAACATGCCACATACTGGAAAGTCATTAATGGTCCACATCAAGGATGCCCTTAATTGAAAATTTTCCTTTCTGTATACATCATATATGTTAACACCAATAGACTAACACGACTAAAATATTGATATCTTCTCCCAAGTGTAGAAGTGATGAAGTAATAAATAACCCGGCAAGACCGGGGTCAAACCACAGGAAGGTTAATTGTATAAATTATAGATGACAATAATAACAATAATA